TATTTGCAAGCCTCTGATAACTGACCCGTAGGTTACCTTGCAGTACGCAGTACGGACACCGGTCGTTTTGTTCAAATATGCATACAAGATGTTTAAAACATTTTCTAACGCTAGCTCGCTCTAACGTACTTTGCAAAGGCAGGAAGCCCACGCCAAAGCCGTTACGTTAATTTGAATATCTGGTTGATCACTACAGTGCAAAAATGAGGAACTTAATTCCATTTTAGTGTCCAAGAAGTAGCGTCGTTGGCTCTTTTGTAAGTTACAAACTATCCAAGCAATTATCACGTAATTGAGGGTGTTTATCGCTAGGTAGATTTGGTTTTTGAATTCTTTGGGACGCCGAGGGCCAAAAGTATACCTAGAAAGTAAAAAAGAAAAAAACGAGGCAGCCGTCTCAATTCAGAAAGGTACACGTAGCTCCGAGACGTTTTGAACTTCTTCGTGTTGTTGCAAAGATGGGATCGGAATCAAAGGTTTCTTTCAACTCCTTTCGAGCAAATTTTCGCGTCTAACTCCCGGGGAAGGAACGCCAACATGTTTTCTGGCGAGTCTCGCGTGTACATTTTTGATGCCCAGGCGACTGAAAAGTTCCTGAAAAGCGCCGCTATAATTTAATATTAAGGGGGAAAAATAGAAGTGACCAATATGTAGACAGGTGTTGTTCAAATTCTAGGTACATACGAATTTTTGGGTCTAGTGCGCCTTGAAAAGCCGAGCAAAATCGAATTTAAAGTGCATAAAATCCAGTCCTATTATGCTCCAGGTCTCGTCGTCGCCGTCAAAGGCCGCCCAGATCTGCTCGGCGGCGAAAACAGAAAAGGTGGGGCGGAGTCCGAAGAAGTCGGCCTCATCCGACCCGAGGAGCCCTCAGAAGAGCTTCAAAAACTCAAACCAACTACCGCTGGTTCATCAGCCAATGTCTTTATGTGATGCGTCTATCCCGAAAATTGATGATGTCCCTGAGATTGCCGAGATACATTGCTAAAGCTTTTTGCTTTGGATTTAATAAACAAACTAAATAAATTTATTTGTTGTTAGGCTTTAGATTATTTCTATACTTTGTTCTTTTATCTGTCATTAACGGGCCGGTCAAGGCATTCCTATGTATTTTGTTCGCCAACGACTCTATAGAGTTCGCGGCATCCGCGACACGCAACGCATGACATTTCGGGGCGACCGCGACGCGCAATACGACTCTATCGCCACTCTTGTCAGTATAATCCATAGCCCTGCCATGTCCAGTCCTTTAAAAAGTATTTAGTTTTCTGCCATGCTGCTGGGCACTTTTGTCGATCGCTTCTCGAAATAACCCTGACTTTTTGGCATCAAAAAAGCAGCTTTTGAGCGCTCTAGCTCGAGTATGCAAGATTATTTTTGCTTTTTTGACAGCTTCTGCAGGCCGTTCACATTTTTCATCAGCTTCTAACTAATTTCCGGCACGCGCCAGCAGAACGATTCCAAGAATTTCCTGTATTTAATGCTACGTTCCAGATCAAACCCGTTTTTTTTTGCCGCTTGCTCGCCGCACATCTAGGATTTCTTTGATTTTGTAACCAGGCCCGCAAAACCAAAACCAAGGTTATTTTTGGTTGCTTCTGAAAAAGCTGATTTTCTTGTCCGATAAGCCAAAAAGCTGGTACGTATTGAGTTTTCCCCAGGCTTTACAAATATAGTCACATTTTCCTAAAATAGCTTATTGCCCTGAGAATGGAAAATTGCGTATTTGCGCTAATCACGCTTTGTTTCCATTTGCAGCAAAACGACGAAATGCAGATCGCTTAATTTTTTTAGCAATTTCGAGAACCAATCCCCTTTCTTGCCCTCAGGTTCAAAAACCATCCCTTCAAAAGGTGTTGATGATGTAAAAAAGCAACATCATTTCGCGATTGGCCCTATTGATGGGAGTGTTTTTTGGCAGCACCGTACTAAGGCTTAGAAAGCGCTTCCGGCCATTCCTCTAGCTGGCACCTGCCGGGCGTAAAAAGTGGCGTGTGCACACCTGCCAAACCCAATTAGCTCGACTTTTTGAGGTTTTGCCAATAGGGTGAGGCGAAAAACCGGAAGGCTGGACTTTGGTTTGCCTTTATCCGGCTACAGAATAGTCTCAAAGGCTCTAAAAACACGCTTTTTAAGGCAAGGATTGATAGTGTCTATGGAGTCTAGTTTCTGCTTGCCAGAACCTAGTAGCTTCTCCAAGTACCAGCCGCTTACAGCGGCTTTGCCGCTGCAAGCGGCTGGACTTCGGGCTACCCCTTCCGCTCCCTCCCCCACCATTTGTGATGGCCTGAGATACTTTAAAGGATTTAAATAATGAATTAAGATAATGAAAAAGTATTAAAACAACTGAAAAAAAGCGATTTGGGCGCGGGAAAGGGCTTGGGGACGGGGGCAGGGAAAGGGGGCGTGGCCTCCCGGAGAGAGGGCCCCCACTCGTTTTATTAAGGCGCCACTTTCAAAGTTAATTATTTTTATTTAAACAAAAACTTTTTCATAATTTTTTAACCATTTAAGGGGTTTCTGACTACGCTCTATCCGAATCCGAAGAGATCTAAGCTCTACCCCCTTTCCCCCTGGAGTTATAGTTGGCTTCTGACGGACAGACGGACACCACTACTGAATTCTTATAGTTGATTACGAATTTTGCTCCAACAGCCATAAAAACGCCAAAGTGCGTTGTCATAAAATATCACAGTAGCATCGTCTGGGTTAATTTTCGCCCTATTTTGACCTAGTTTATGAGTTTCATACAATCGTGGTGAGACATAAACTACGGTATTCTTTTGGAGACCTATTGCTCGGCAGACCTTTAACTGGAAAAATTTTTTTTGTTTAAAAGATCCAATATAGTAGTAGTATCCAGTAAATGAAATGAATGATGAATGAAATGAATGAAGTAAAGTGAGTATATCTACTGCCTTTGCCTGCCAATTTTATTATGCGATCGGTCACCTTTCTTGTAACGTGCCAAAAAACATTACCTGGAAAAGCTATTACCGAGAATATGATATAAAGCATCCAAATTGACTATAATTCGTTTTCACACGTCACACAATCGTAATTTACTTCTTTACTTGCCTCTTTGACGTTTGAGTCGGCTTCTGGTGTCGAGGTATCTAATCCCTCTGGCTCTAATTCTTTGACCTCGTGCGTCCGCTTCTTTCATTTGCTTTTTTGCTTTTTGACTGCCTTGTCATGTCAATTGTCCGAATTGCAATGTGTCAAAATGCGCTGCAAAACCCAAAAAAAATTCCTGGTCGTGTAAATTGCCCTGAATTTTTTGGAATAATAAATTGACTAGTAAAAACCCGAGTTCTAGCGAATTTTGTGGCTTGTACCACAGAAACGGATCTATTTTTCAAATTTGCAGGTATTTTTCTGGTCTCATCAAGTTCAGCTAAACGGCCATATTACACGCGTTTTGCTGTTGTCATGCTTCAGACTAGCCATTAGACTTGTTGCCGATCATTCACCGCGTCTCACTTTCCGCGTATCAGCTCGTCAAAGTCTGTAATTTGCTGTAATTATAGTCCTGGCTGGATTTCAAATGCTTCCGCTCAGGTTGCGCTTCACCAGTTTCTCATTCGTAGGCGAATTCCTGGTGAAACAAAAATATGGGCAGCAGCATCATGATGATCGGCTTCTTGGCTGCGGTTTGCGTCGCGGAATTGTTTGCAGGTAGGAAATTCTTTCTTAAGCAATTTTATAAAAGCGTTACTAATAATTGGTATGCGTCATTGATTTGGCGGATTTTTTAGGCAGGTAGTGCCGGTTTTCTATCAAAAATTCAAATTTTAAGAATTTTACTAAATTTTTGAATAGTTTCTTTCGCCTTTTTCATTTTCTTATATAGCAAAAAGCCGCACAAATACGTAGCTTTAATGCTAACTTCTTGTAAAACAGCTTTGTTGACAAACAGCGCCCCAATTTTAGCCTCGATTCCGGCGCAGCAGCCTACAAATGAGCTCTATCGCCGGGCGGCCGAGATGAACCCTTTCTCCCGAAAATACTACTCGTTCGCTGAACTTGGCGTTCCTACAGTCGATGTTCAAAGGAGTTGTAAGTGAAGTTGCAATCTTAAAAACCAAAAATCCCGGAAAACAACAAAATCCGCTGAATTTAATTAACTATGTAGAGGCATTTGTTTAGCTTGAAGCTGTTAATATTAATAAAAAGGTATTGATAGAGCTGTTATTTAATTTTTGTAAAGCGCTATCTTTCGTCAAAAACTGAAACGGTGCCTCTTATTAGTCCATTACGACAGGAAAAGACGTTAGCAAACGACCCCTGCCTCTTTCGAGGAGGCGCCGAGCGATTGGATTAGCCCCTCCGCTGATAGCGCCCTCTTCCCACCTCGCCACCACCCGGTCCCGTGGTGTAGCGGTTAGCACTCAGGACTCTGAATCCTGCGACGGGAGTTCAAATCTCCCCGGGACCTTCCTTTTTGCTTTTTGGGGAATATGTTTGGCAAGGTTTTACTGATATTCTAACAAACATTTCTGGCTATTTTGATATCGTAATTTAGTCAAATCGAAACCAAAAAGTTGATTTTCACTTTTCTTATTGTAGTATCCGAGTTAATCAGTAAAAATGTATAAAGATGCTAATTTCAGCCCCGTATCTCCAAGAAATGTTCCCGGCCCACGTCCGCTCCGCCTACGGCCAGGAGATGCTGCGTCGACTCCAGAAATTGACGCAAGCTTGAAAAACTTCGACTGTTTCTTTTTGATAAATTATGTTGTTCCAGGTACCAAAAAATGTATTTTCGGCTAAATATACTACCCTAAAAAACCAATATTTATTATGCACACGGCGAGTGATGTGAGATCAATGGTTTTGCGAGAAAAATTAAGAAACGAACGACCGGAAACTAATAGTTGGGTGGGGACCGGTAGAGACGAGAGTGATATGAGTTATTGGTGGTGGAAAAGGGGGTATAAAAGTGTGGTGATGAGATCTGGCGGATATCTGGTCTGATAGAAACGAAAAAAAATATTTTAAAGGGCAGTTGAAGGGATGTTAAGCGGGGCACTTTCCAAGATAATCGTAGTTTTCGAGGATTGGCGACGCTTATCCATCAGCGAGTTGTCGTCGAAACCGGAAGTGGTGCTGTTTTTGGAGACTACCTAAAAAGTATTGGCATTAAGGTGCCTCTGCTAGTTTGCCCCGAAAAATCGCCACTTTTAAGTAGCAATTAAAAAACATAAGGGGTATGTTATGCCATAAAATGAAGTTTTAAAGCCTTGGATTATACAGGATTATTTTTATGGCACCCAAGTTCAACTATTTTCAATTAATTCCCGTAAATGAGTATCTACTCACCTCCTTGAACAACCCAAGATACTTGATGAGTCGATCGCGATAGATGCGTTGGGTAGCGATCGTGATCACCGGATTTACAATGCTTCCACTGACGAGCAATTTGAAGGAGACGTCGGTCAGCAGTCGCTGCCACTCGCTACGGACGCCGACTAAAAAAAACAGATGTCAATTGTAAAATGGATCGAAAGATCCCTGCTAGCTACTCCCAGCTCCTGAAACGCCAGTGAGCCAAGATAAGCTAAGCCAAGATAAGCCTAAGATACGCCTAATAAGGAGTGCTTTTTTTGAGTCATACGCAAATCATTTCCAAAGATAGTGCATTCGACAGAGAATTTGATTCTGAGTAACGCTATAAGGTTCATTTTTGCAGAATGGCTGTCCCCGATTTTATAAAATTAAAAAACTAAAACGGTGTTTTCCTACATCCCTCGGCGCCCGTTTTCCCGATGGCAGGCATGCCTAGCCACCGGGACAAGGGGGGGCTAGATGGCTTCCCAACCACGATTGACGATAGCGCAGTCAGTAGCGCGGTTGTCTTTGGAACTTTTTTGGACTTCTCTGGGAGGTTCGATTCTTGCACGTGTTATTTCTTTTGCTTTTTTATAGTCAATTGCGTTTCCGTACATAGAGATGTGATTTTTGCATTTTTGAATTGGTTGCTTCAAAGTTGGTCAAAGGGAAGTCTCCAGGCCCGAGCCTTGTCACTGTTCACCGAGATTTCACTATGGTCGTGCCTGCTCATAGAGCGGATTCCATGATAATTGAAGCCAAAAAGCCATTCACCGCTATAAAATTCAAAAAGCAAAAGAAATAACACGTGCAAGAATCGAACCTCCCAGAGAAGTCCAAAAAAGTTCCAAAGACAACCGCGCTACTGACTGCGCTATCGTCAATCGTGGTTGGGAAGCCATCTAGCCCCCCCTTGTCCCGGTGGCTAGGCATGCCTGCCATCGGGAAAACGGGCGCCGAGGGATGTAGGAAAACACCGTTTTAGTTTTTTAATTTTATAAAATCGGGGACAGCCATTCTGCAAAAATGAACCTTATAGCGTTACTCAGAATGAAATTCTCTGTCGAATGCACTATCTTTGGAAATGATTTGCGTATGACTCAAAAAAAGCACTCCTTATAAGCTAAGCCTAAGCTAAGCCTAAGCTAAGCCTAGGCTAAGCCTAAGCTAAGCCTAAGTTAAGCTCAAGTTTAGCCTCCGCCAAACCAAAGTTAAGCCTAAGTTAAGCCTGATAATCTAAGCATAAGCTAAGCCCAATCTAAACCTAGGCTAAGTCTAAGCTAAGCCCAATCTAAACCTAAGCTAAGCCTAAGCTAAGCCTAAGTTAAGCCTCAACTTATCCTAACCATATATTTTAACGACTGCTGGAAACTTACACATCATATTCACCAAAAAGAGCACCCTGAACGGGACGCAGGTGATGAACGTCCACAATGTTGACGAGAACAGGAAGAAGAGTCGTTGGAAGAGTTTCTGAAATTTAGATTTGAATCAGAAACGACACATATATACAAAACTGGGTCCAAACAACCTAGGGGATTCACTTCAAAATCAAAGCACACGCCATGCAAATCGGGGGGGTAAGTCACTGCACTTCTTAGGATTCACGCTTTTGGGGAAGCACTCAGATTTTCGGGGTTAACAAGGCGGTATGGTACCACTGGGAGAAGCTGCAAAACCACGCGGGGGTCGTCGAACCACTGACGGGATGATGTAAAACACAAGCAATTTATCGGTTCGTGATGATGCTTTCTTGGGAATTACCTGATCCGGTTTGGCGGGATAGATACTGGCGCGGCCCTGGGAAATGAGAATGCTCCAGTTAGTGGGGTTAGGCGAATTTTTGTTGCAAAATGTTATAGTGTTAATGGTATTGTTATATTTATATTTTTAAACGTGAATAAGGCATGCCCCATTAGCCATGAAAAAGCGAAAAATTATTTTTGAAAAACTGCAAAAGAATTTGGTGTTAGGAAGCGTTTGAATTATTATGTAATTTATCTGAAAACTCGATACCCGACTCGATTTAGATAATACTCAGCTTAAAAGCTACTACTGTAAACTTTGTCGAAAACTGGTATTTTGAATCGATTAGTCAATCAATAGGTTTTAACCCGAAAGCCAATCGATTACGCACGGTAGGTAAAATTTTTACAATTTGTTGAAGCTGCGCATGTGCAAAAAACTTACGGTTCGTGCCCGATGCTCCATCCTAGTCGTCGTCTGGGCGATGCAATAGATGATGGCCGAAATGGAGAATGAAGCAACGATCACCACCAGGTAATAGAAGCACATGATGATGTAAAGGGTGTGGTCGTTAAAGGAAATCTCCAAGCAGCTGTTCTAAAAAAATAGTTTGTTTCGTATTAAAGGGGGATGTTGCTGGCCCTTAAAACTTTATCGGGAAAAATGATTGAACCAGTTTCCAATTACGATATTAAGGGATTTAAAGGGGCTGGGAAGCACATAGCCAAAAATCACTCACCCCAACCCGGAAGAAATAATTCATCAAGCCGATGAAGCTGATCAGAAACATCCACGTTGCAATCGTCAACAATAGGAATTTTTTCCGGCTGACCATCGAATAGTAGTGGAGCGGAAACTGGATGTAGAGAAGCTTGTCAACGTTCAGCCTAAAAAAACGCACTTAAAGGGCTAGTTCAACTTTTAGAGCTTGGGCTGGTATCTTGGGAATTATGGACGTAGGCACAGTGCGCCCGAACAGTCCCCCATTACGACAGCTATTAGGGATCGGGGAAATGAGAGAGGCGCAGACACAAAAACGCAGAGAGGGTTCGACTCCTGGCCGCGGAAATTCTTTTGTTTTATCGGCTGAACTAGCCCTTTAACTAGATTTAGGAACCTTGAAGATTTGCGTCTAATACCTTCAACGTTTTGTGAAAAATGCCGTAAATTAATTTGAAGCAACGGCAATTCCATTACTTACCACAACAAATAAATACAACTGCACATTTGGACCAGCCAAATCGCAAAATAGTAAGCACGGCAAGTATCTGCTGGGAAGTACTGTAGGAACGGCCGAGTGACAACGTAGACAAGGCAAAAAGCGAGGTCGGCGAAAGTCATGTTCATGATTAGGATCTAGAAACGAAGAGTTTGTGGATATCACCTATTTCTCCCTCTCTCTCACACTCTCTCCCTCTCTCTCTCGCTCTCTTTCTCACCTGTCTTGGCTTATCATCCGTGTCAATATGCCGAATAGCAATAAATAAGACGAGGATGTTGAGCAGCGTCCCGCTAACGCCAGAACCGGTGTAGAAAATTAACTAAACGGTCAAAATAAGATTTGGTACCTCCTATAATAATTGTCAGTTTTGAATATCTATACCGTACCTCTCCAAGCGAAACAGCGTCCGTTCGTGGCGGCGCTACTGTAGTCGGGACAAGATCTTGGTCAAAAAATGACGACGATGGTGATGCTTCGAAAAAGTTTGGAGGATGTGTGGTGTCCATTTTAGCTGAAAACAACAAATTTCGAGTGTTTTCTCGACAATGTTTGAACGGAAACTACATATTTGAAAGAATCATAACAAGAGACGATACAAAAACTTTTAAATCTTGCAGAGCTCTCAGAAATGCGAAAAATTGCATGAAAATTTAGCTTAAAAGCATTCAAGAACAACATAAAAATTTTTAACTAGTATATTTTCGCTTTATCCAAGCCGAATTTGCATCAGCTGAAAAGGTACAGTAGGACAACCTCAATATCAGCCAAAAAGTATCGCGGAAGTCTTAAAAATAAGAAAAATTGGGGCAAATTCGAATCAAACCCGGCAAATGACCAATTCCTATGAATAATGCTTCCTGCAACCGGCCATGTGGCGACGGGTCAAAACATTTTCAAAATTAGCGCTTTTTAGTTCTTGGTTGAGACACGGTCCGGTAATTCGCTGACGCATTAGCAGCGCTTTAATCGAGAATATTGCATCCGGATTCGGACCGGCGCAGACCAGAAGCTCAAATTTGATTTGGTGGAATGGGCGAGGATCTGGCGGATGGTCTAATGAATCGGGGGTTATTCATAGCTGGATCTGGAGGTCGAAATAATTCATCTAAAGCTTAAAGGTACGAAAAATCTGTCGTTTAAATTTTAAGCGTATTTAGAGCAGATTTTAGCGCTTAGAAGTGCTTTTAGGCTTTTTTCTGCTGTGAGTTTCCCATTGAAAACCGCTGTTTTCGCCATAATAGTAACGATAAATTCAGAAATAATATTTAGGGAAAGAGCATAGGTTCCAAAACTAGCCAAAATTACGAGCAAAATATAGTTTAACTAAAAATTCCAGTTAAAAAATCAAATTTGATCAAAACATTTTAGTCAAAAAAACGCAGACTCCGTGAAGATTGCTGTTAGCCTATCTGCGTAGACTTGCAAAATTCGCCTAATGCCGACAGCACCAAAAATGAAAAAAAAACCCGGAAAAAACGGCCCAGTCGAGCTAGAAATACCGTTGCCGGAAATGCCAAAATCTGACATCGGGCTCAAGCCAGATTCCCGAACTCGACCCAAAACTGCCGATTCCGAATCCAAACTATCTTTTTCTCCTGCCGCATGTGAACGATAAAAATTGAAGCCTTTCCCTCTGGAGCACAACGTTCTAAAAATACCCCGTAAAATCTGCGGGGGCCCCCAGCAGGGTTCGGGACGATTTCGCTTTTTCCGGAGTCGCCGGTGGGGGCGACCGGCGGGCCGAGTCGGAGCATAAACCACCTAATGGAAACAATATGGTGGGTCTCCGCCAGTCGAGACGAGGACTGAGGAAGAGGACAGGATTTAGAATGGAGGATCCCCGGATGGGCCTGAAATACCGAAAAACAATCGGCAAAAATGGGAAGGCAAGGAAGGCACGGAAATTGGGTGGGTACAAGCCGAAAGGTTGGTTTGGCAAAGGTATCATTCTGGTAAATTTTAAGATCTATTTAAAGCAAAGTTGATACCCGAAATCTGTGGTTTTACGCACCGATATTTTTTAAAAGCAAAAACATCGTTAAAAAGGGGTAAATACTGGCTTAAAAACTGTTCTAAAAACACGTCATTCATTGTTGGTCTCGTTATAAGGTATATTTAAGGGGCAAGAGGAGACTTTAATTGAGCATTGTTGTAGTAGTGACATATTCCATGGGAAATCAGAAATAAAAACTGAAAATATGTGGCTTTTGCCTTGACATCGAGCCCTAATTCTAATCGCCCAATTGGCGACCGGGGGCTCCCACCCCTCTAGTACCCCGCCCTGTCGCCCTGCCTACAAGCGTCGGTGGTTCAGTGGTAGAATGCTCGCCTGCCACGCGGGCGACCCGGGTTCGATTCCCGGCCGACGCAAGGCATTTTGCTTTTTGGGCGAATGGTAGTTCGGACAGAGTCTTATAAGTTGTAGACCATGGTTTTTTATTTTTTCGTTTTTTTTTTGAACTGGTTGACCACACTACATTTGCAATTACATACCCTCTGGGCACGAAATCTATCTTAATTTTTATGACTGAATCCTGCCTCTACTAAAACAAAAACAAAAACATTAGTAGCGTTAAATGGTTAGACAAATCTTCAGAGCCTTTATAGCACTCTAAAATGAACGGAATTGAATAAAATTCTTGCGTAATTAAGAAAAACTCGTCGTGAGGTCAACGATTTTCGAAGCACAATGGAGTCCAGACTCTAGAGGCCATTTTCAATTAACGACCATAAAAAATCAGGGCGCACAAGGGTGCAAGATTCCGGAAGCAATGAGAGGCAGCAAAAGAAGAACATTTTCCGGGCCCCCACCCCTACCTGACTGGGTACTTCCTTGCACGGGGAGGACGAGTAGTAGAGTGCTCCTAGTGCACCTATAGGCCTCCCCTCTTTGACGGCCATGAAATGACTTCTTGATGGCGATAAGCGGTGTCTTGAAAAGAGGGGGTAAAAGTAGCCTTTAGGGCCCAGGATCAGCTCCCGTCGGTGGGCCATTCCTCACCCTGCGTCGAGCCCCAGAAGTGTCCAGCAGGGGGGCTGGGGGGAGAATGTAAAAGACACACCACGTACTGAAGAAACAATGCCCATATCTCGATGAGCACCGAGCACTTCACCTCTTGCTCCCGAAAAGGTGGTTGAGGCGAGCAAAAAGACAGCGCGCTGGGTTCTACCTTAACTATGGCTTTTCGGATTTGGTCAGGTAGACACGGGAAGGATTCTTAGCTCAGTGTCTAGGGGAGCAAAGCCTAACGCCGAGTTTTAAAGGAACGGGTAATACAAGGAATTCCTTGGGTGACGGATCGAAATGAATTTTAAGACGTACGTACGATGGCCACCGTGAAGCCACGGCAATACATTAGGCAACCGCTAAACTCCCGGCTTCTCGTGTCTTAGTTGCGGTCAAACTCAGAAGGAATATTCGGTGATGAAATCCATAGCCAGGTATTGCCATTTATGTCGTGCCGGTCCCTTTAAAAAGATGAGCTAGCAGAATAAAGTTTGTTAGTAACCAACTACAGAAATATTTATGAAACGTACCATCGTCGTTTCAAGATAGCTTCAGTGATACTGTTAGGGTCAAATACTATCTGTTATTAACTTTGCGACGCTTTTTAGGGCCTAACTGGCAGTTAGTCATAGTTTACCAATTTCAATAGCAAAACACAGCCTATGCGGAGGTGTCAAAACCATGAAAAAGCAAAATCAGAACCTATCCGAACACGATAGAATTTTGAAAAATGTAACCCGAAAGCGGAATCGCCGTAAATTAATAATTTCCGGCAAATGTCCTTTGACGGATTCAGTGACTCCCCGGAAAGCTTTGTGAATCTAAGAATGGCATTTGAAGTTGAATTTCTGTCTGTTTGACTGTCTATCTAGGAATGTGTTTGTCTCTCTGTCTGTATGATTCTGGACATCCGGGAGAGGATTCTAGATCTTCTAGACAACCCCAGAAAATGTACCCTCCAACCAGTCAACCCACCCCTCGGAAAAAACGAAGAACCATCCGCACACAGCACAGCAAAATAATTAGCAAATTTAGACAGAAGCCGAACACACAGGCAGAAAAGACAGACACCAGGATGTGAATGGACATTTCGGGATGGGAGATTGGGTGAACTGTCTGGGCAGGCAGGCCTATTCTTTTTACGGAATTTAAGGCAGAATGGCATTCACAGGCTATTTTTGCCGGGTTTAAATCCTGTTTTGGCTACGGAAGGGGAATTGTAGCGCTGCGGGGAGCATTGAACTAACTGTTGTGCTGGTGGTAAAAAAGTTATTATGGTTTTTCTTTTTGATGAATGTTGAAAAATAGAGTGTAGTTCGTAGTTTGGAAGGATGACGAATTTTCGATACAGGCTTTTAAGAAAGCTGGATAAAGCGAAAGAGAGAGAGAGCGCGACAGAGAGACAAGGAGAGACAAAGAGAGAGAGAGAGAGAGAGAGAGAGAGAGAGAGAGAGAGAGCGAGAGGAGTGAAAGTGTTTCAAACCTCTAAGTTCCTTGAAAGCGACGAAAGCCGAGATGAGGAAACGCGCAACGAATCAGCCAAATTTTTGTTGCTTGCAGTCGTTTTTAGAACATTTTGCCGCATAGGAAAAAACTCATTACACCGTAGTTTCCAACCAAACAAAACAACAACAAAAAATATATGGAAAACCGGGCCATTTTGCGGCTCAAAAGCCGAATGTTTGCTTTCCATAAGTCATCCTGCATTTTATGGTCCTATGGGGGGAGGTGCTTTGAGGAGGTTGTGGTTGAAAATGGAGAATGGATTGTGGGGGCGTCTTGGAACGTTAAAACCAATGCAAAAAACATGCAACACCCGGAATTGATTTTTTAAAATCCATCCCTTAATGGGGGAGGGCCCGAAATAGCAACAAGAAGCCGGAATCTCCCACAGCAATAAAATTAATGGGCTTTTTGGAGGCGCTGTTTTTTGAATCTAGGCTTTCCAAACAATTCTATAGCCAGAGGAAAAACTTCGGCACTATGCTTCAGAAAATGATGTGTATCTTTCGAATGTTTTTCTGGCCTAATTCCTTTAGGCGACGCGTGCCAATTGGCCTCCGGAAAATTTGACCCCGAATCAATGGGATTACGCGCGGGACCGGGCGCGGATTCTGCATGGATATGGGAGAGGAAACGCCTTTTCAACGGGCATTTGGTCGGATGAATTCGGCTAATATAGGGGTGGCCAAATTTAGGCCATTTGCATATGTTCGAAAAAGCGGCTGACGAAGCAGAGAACTAATAATAAATAGAGGTTTAAGTAAAGTTGTCAGTAACAAATTAACTTTAAGAAATGCGGAAGATTCGAATTTATGAAAAATGACCAGATTTTATCAAAAATTGAGCTTATATGGCATTTTTTAATAAAAATTAGCAAATTTTCTATGCGTAAACATAGTAAAAATTATTTACGAACGTTTGCCTCCAATTACTCCCTTTTATATCGTGTTTTGAGCCCGAGGTTTGAACCTGACTTTAACCTGACCTAAAATCCCT